AACCCACTTTTATTTGACCTGTGCCCCTGCCTTGTTTTAACTTAGGCCCCATTACCCTGATCGACTCTAGATATACCTCTTGCCAAGGAGTGGAGATTGATATTAGGCTTTCATGGTCACTATCAGTGCATATTGACTCCCAAAGAAGCACTTTTCTCAAAAGACTGGAGGTTATAGAAAATTAGAGCTTCTCCCATGAATATACTTGAGGAAATATACTTCCTTGCTGTTATTTTAAGCGTTACATACAATAATAAAGAGTAGTTTTGAAAAATGGTTTTTCATCTGCGTTGAAACTCTCAACTCATCTAGCCAAGGCCATCTTATATTGTGAACAACTTTCAGCCATCGTTAGCAGGTCTGTGATACATACCTTGCTAACTCCAGCTGGCAACTCATTTCCTATATTTATAACGGATCCATCTTAATGTTAATTGTTTTTTAAAAAAAGACATTTGAGAATTTTTTTAATTCTGCTTATAACCCACGCCATATTTCATAATATGCATTTCTGCTTACAATGCTGTATCCTGATGGTGTTTTGAAACTTCGAGTAAAAAGTTTCATCAACGGTTCTCAAAAAAAAAATCGTCCACGTCATCTTGCATTCAAAACAATTCCACATCATTGAGTTTAAATCATTCAGTGGTTGGAACCGTCTACAGTAACTGGGTCCTGCGATCAGGAAGTTCGAGTTAATGATTAGATTACTGACAGAACCTAGGAGTTCTTATTTTCTGAGCAGACTCTTAAAAAAGCAACCTTAAGACATTGCCAAGTTCTCCTTCAAAAAAGCAACACCCTTGCACGCTACGAAAACAAATGATTTTATACATGTTTCACAGTTGTACTCCATAGATTTTAATAATTTAGGAGGTGAGCATAGCTCCAAAAATTTGCCGCTGTCACAGCTCTATGCCATTTTAAACAGCAATCCTTTTTCGTGCTGTGGTTTGCCTCCCCTTTTCCTTCTTGCTGAAGAAATTCAGGGATTCACTATTTCTTGATAACTGGGCTTTTTGAATCCAAAAATTTCATAGTCTTTTGCGTATATATTCTGCAGTCGTGTGAATTCTTCTTGTGATATTCCTGAATAGAAAATCTTCATCTTCGTTTGCGATCCTTGTCCTTCGGGTGCAGCTTCGACATTTGGGAATGTAACCTCTTCATCAGCTCCCATCAACATAAGAGCGAGGTCAGCATCTGCTTTGATATTATCATAGATGCCAACGAAGTCGTAATTTATATCACACGGAGCGCATAAATTATGCTGACGATCCCAGTGTTCATCATGAGAACTAAAAGGTGTAGTAATCGCGTAATTTGCGAATTCCTTAAATGTAGGATAATGTGGTGTTAACCCCGTAGAGTTCTTCCGCATCCTTCTGATGATGTCTAGGCCGATGCTGTAATAATATCCCTTCCTAGGGGGAACAACAGGTGCAAATTTACTCCGGTAAGCCGACAGAAATCGCTCCATAGGTTCGCGAACAAATGCAATCTTTTTGTATGTTTTTAACATGTGATCTACTACTGTAGCGTTTGAATAATGTCTCAAAAAGCGTAACTTTCCTGAATCATGCGAAGTTTCGTGGGAGATATCTTCCGACGAGTTGAAATGTTCTTCTAAAATGTGAAAAATTCGTTTCCAGTTGCTACATGCTACTTTAGGAACGAAACAGAAGAGTGTTTTGTAACGCTCGGACACGATAAGGTGATGTTTGACGACATATTGAATAGGTTTTCTTCTACCTTGCTTGGTACAAGCAGAAGAATTCCAAGGCCGATATCTTTCCTCTAAAAGTCTGATCTGAAAAAAGGGAAATTAAAAATGATTTAAGGTGATAAATATTCTCAACAAGGCTGGAACATTTAAGGCGCTAAATCGCCGAACCAGGGCTTCGTCACGAATCGATTCGTGTTTACTGCTTACAAAACAAGTCTTTGTGTCCTATTTTGTTGCTACGATTATTGCATTTGTGCGACCTGTTTCAGGGACAAAATTATGTGTCTGGGATAACTGTATGATTCCTAGGGACACCAAGAGAACGTATAAACATGTTCACGTTTTTGACTCCAAATGAAAACCATAGAGAGAGAAGGAAGGAACCAAAATTATTCTTTCGAACTGTTTGTCAAGGTGAATACAAACAATTCTCAAATTCGGCTCCCATGATGCGTGAGTAACGCGTGATATACAGTTGCTGAACAAACAAACATTCTGGCCAATTTTTTTTTGGGCACATTCACCTGACACTATTGTAGGTTTTGGTTAAAATGGTAATAAGCTTTAAAAATGGTTTTTACAATTTAACATTTAAATACCATTAACTAAAACAAAGAGAGAATATCTTGTTCCATTTGCCACTCCCCGTAGCTGGAGAGTTCGTTGAAAATAGATCTTCTTTGGAAAAAGAAGATATACAAAGAAAAACGTACAAAAGAAAAACCTTGAAAATTCAGTAAAGGGCGTGTAATAATAGAACCCTCATTTCCCCTAAGGATGTTAAACCTCATTAACGAAATTGTGGTTGATTGCATGCTTTATCAACCAGCAAAAGGAAAGTCAGTCGTTGGTCATCTGAGCAATGTGACCGTAGATGTATGTGTGACTTTTGTTCTGTGTACTACTGGGATAGACTCTCTGTGTGGAATAAATTTTTAATTATGTTTTCGACAAAACTACTCTTCAAGACATGAGCCCAAGGTAAGTCGTGCGGAAAATGGCCTTTCTCTTCTCTCGGGGAATGACCTTTGTCTCTAATCCTAAGCCATTAATCTGTTAATGATACGTTTCGTTCACTTTTTCCTTTGTCTATTTTTATCTTGGGCATGTGTTCTAATGATTGCAGGATTTCAGTGAGGTTAAGTACAGTTTTATTTCAGTGAGGAGAAGCATTTTTTTCCAGAAAAGACTTTTTTCTCAGCAAAGGGCTTTTGAGTTGTTGTACTACAGTAAAACAGGTTTATAGAGGCACTTTGGATTGAAAATGAGCGCAAATTAAACCCAATAGTTGAAAATTAGCCGCATTCGATTTGTGTGAAAATACTGAGAGACATAAATCCGAAAGTTAGCACTATTTTAGGATTATATTGTTTTGAGTACAATTGATAACTTCAAATTCACTATTTAATTTTTTCAAAGTAATGATATTCTACGGGAGAACGTAATGAATTCCAAACCCAAATTGCAACCTACAGAATTAAGGTGTCAAAATGGAAATGCATTTTACAGACCTGCAGGTCTGCTGCGGGTGTGAAAATAACATGTTTTGGTCGAGAATGGGATCAGACACACCCTCCTGGTAAGAATTCTGACGAGTAGAAAATTACAGTCACTCGCTGAATTTTCAACTGATTACTTACCAGTGCCTCTCTCTTCATCTGTTTAATATTCTGGGAATCTGTTAAAAATTCAATTAAAATTTATTAGAACTCTGAATGTTGATAAAGGGAGTTTACAAGATGCAACCGTTCTACCATCTCAAAAAAATACAGATGATCGAAATTATAACGAATTATTAAGCGGTGGTGTTCAACGTTAAGGGGTTGATTTGACGTACGTCAGAGCAAAGTCGTACTTCAACCGTATCTTCCTCTTGCATGTCTGTTCTAGATTTCAAATTTAATAAAGAACGCGTTATTTTGTTGATGATGGAGTTTCGCTTATGCAGTTAAAGGGGAATTAAAGTTGTAATTTTTTGTCTCGGAAGTTTCAAACGTGCAGCTCAGGAAATACAAGGTGATGGAATTTCAGTTCAAATAAGAACAACATTAACAACGACAATTCTACGTTTAATATTGTGACAACAAAAAAAAAACGCTAACAAGGACGTTTCACTTTCTAAGATATATATATTTAGCGACTGATTCGCCACATAAATATTAAAAGGGACACTAACACTGTTTTAACAAGATAACCTAGTAACCCTAACTCAGACAGAAGCACAAATTCGTAATTGTTCAAAATATATTTTTACGACGTGCGCAGCGAATACAACCAATATTCAGTTATGCAGCGCTGTCTGAGCAAACACTTCAGTCGAAAAAGTGTTTTAAGAAATGGTTCACATTTTCATCTGCTCGCACCCGCAAGCCTTTAAAATCTGGGATCTTCAGCGGGCAGTTTTTGCAGAGCGATTGCAGTTCCAAGAACACGAAAAGTATGGTCGAGCAACAAGATTGGCAAGCGTTTGAAATATGAATAAATTTCTCTGCGCTTTCGCTTATTGGAGATAGCTTTTTTTTTACAAATGTTCCTGAAATAGCTCTAAAGCCCGTCTGTGTAAGTCGAGTGTTTCAGGTTTAATGCATAACGTCACAACAATACAATTGCAATCAGTCAAATTAGCGGGGAGTTAAAAGCGAGACCAATATTTTGGTAGCGTTGAATAACGAGAAAGTTGTTTATTATGGATGGTTGTCACCTGAGGCACTGAGTTTGACTCAGTCTGAAAAACTGGCGAAAGTATTAATTCATTTTTTGGTTTCGTTGGGAGGCATTGTCGGTTCGTGAGGTCGGCAGTGGACAAGACCACTGGGTATGGTGCGTGCCACTTCAGAAAAACATCGCTTAACCTTGTGTCGTCTTTTACAGTTTCGCATACAGATTCAAGTCATATAAATGGATTCATTCTCCCAACATTTGTTATGTGGTAATTTTAGTATCAACCGAGTTGACGTTGACGTTGACGTTTCGGGCGTTTGCCCTTCGTCAGAGCGATGGCGAAGGGGCTAACGCTCGAAACGTCAAGTTACGAGTTGAACACAAACAAATGTCATGATTACTTACCGTTAGTACTTCGATTTGTTTCATAAATTACTGAATAAAATGCCCCTGCAAGGACATGCACCGTCAGAATGACGAATGTAACTTTGGCGACGTTCCAAAACGAACAACGCATTTTGGAGTTACGTAAGTACTTCTGCAACCTTTTTTTGATTCAATAAGAAAGATTCCTTCGCAATCTAAGTACAACTCTATCGGCGGAATCACACTTGGTATTGACCAAGGGTCATGCCTTCGATATATCTATAAGTGCTCTCTATCTCACTCACGTTTCAGTGGAGGAAATGGCTTATGTGGGCCCTACCCTATCAGAGAGCAGTATGTCGAAAGCCTTTAAGGTAGCTCAATCATGATATAACCAATCAGGAAGCCGCTCTTGTTCGCTCATGTGATCGCCGGGAGGAAACATGGCGGTTGTTAGGGCACATTGCAGTTTCGAGGGGAAAACGAGACAAAAACGCATCAAGAGAAATTTCACCAGGAAATAAAATTCTGAATGTTCTAAACACTGAGTAAATTTTCAATATAGTCAAATTTACAGAATGGCCGGGCACCTTTCGAGACCTTCTGAGGAGTACGTGCAAAGTCTGTTGAAAGATAGCGAAATATTTGGCACTGAAACCACCCAAACAATACAAATATATTAAGTCACTGAAGAATACTTAGTGTATTTGACCATTTCCATGTAAGTACATGGTATAGTGCTCACAAACACATTCATTTTTCAACTACTTATGCAACATCGCGGTCTCTTCAACAATTGCACAAGTGCTACGGTCGCTTTCGAGAGCGCGAATGGTGAACACAACGCGAAGAAAGCCGCACAAATTAAGGAGCCACATGAAACATTTTTTTAAAATCTTAACTCGACCTACACCTCGCCACCTTGTCTTGTAAAATGTTTGGCGAATGGCATGGGATTACATAGGATAATATTGAAGTTGGGTCACTTAAAGTATTATGAAAATTAACGAATTATGAAAAATTAATGTATATGATTGTGCGTATATTTTGTGGCATGGTATGTTTGTGTACAATCAGTGACAATTATCTAAAGCGCTTCTTTCGTGGCTTTTCATACTCATGCGTTTTTCCTTCAGTTAATAGAGAATCTTCAAACGTGGGACGTTTCGGCTAATGCCGGTGTCACAGCGGATTTGGACCCCCGCGGATATGGATCCCCCTTCACAGATTTGGACCCTTCCCCCCCCTAGCGGATTTGGACCGAGGAGTCCATATCCGCTAGCGGATTTGGACCGGGGGATCCAAATCCGCTGGGACACCGGCCCACGAAACCGGCTTTTTATACTCATTTGTTGTTCATTTAACAAAGAATCTTTCAGCCGTGGAAATTTCCAGCTGATGCTGACCCACAAGACTGGAAAATCGAGAGAAATCACTAAAGTTGCCGGAATTAAGAAGAAAATTACGATGGGCGATCTGGCCATGAAAAAAGTTACGAAAGTAATGGTCTAACTCGGGGATCGCTTACGATTCCAGGACTGACTTGCAGTCCCGCGATTATTTGCGAAGTGTACACTTCATTATGGTCACATTTATCCACAATCAACACAACCAGAACTGATTTAACTTAAGAAGGCTACTGCTGGAGGAAGTTTGGTTCTTATGCCAGTCAGTCATTTCCTAACTCACGATCATTTACGGAAGCCATTCGTCAGCAGCGCGCTTGATTCTTTAAATCAAGCGCAGTTGTGTACCTACGTGTTATCATCCAACTGCACTTCGTAGAGTACGAATAACGCGCGAATAGAGTACGAATATCCTGCGATATTGTACGGTTATCTGGACCGTTGGTTATTTTGTACTGAAAAAAATACCTGTTTAACTGGTCGGCTGCGCGCGCTACGCTGCTCTATCTGCTTTGCTTTTCCCGCGTTATGAGAAATGAACAGAAAGACTTGGCTGAACAAAAAAGCACTAGGGTAATAAATATCTTAGTAGACGTTTTAGTGTGTAGTATCGCTGAGTATTTTCACGAGTTGTGCCGTATTTTGACCAGCCCTATGTATTTAAGCAAAGATGATGAAAGAAATAGCTTATGGCTGACAAACGGCGTGAGTGCAGTCATGCATATAGATACTGTTTGAACATTGGTGAAGCTTCTCAGGTCTCTCTTAAAGAATAAGTTCTGCCTCCTTGGATGTAAAAATTATGTTTCTTCCGTTTTGTTGTGTCTATTCACTCCATTTGTCACAAGCTTTTTTTTAATTCAAAGAAATACAGAATAATACACGGGCGCCCATAAATATGGAATTTCTCTACTCGTATTTCACTCGATATCTCACAGATGAGCACCGCAAACGAGTGAGATATCGAGTTGAACACGAGAAAAGAAATTTCATAACTACAAGCTACCAAGTATTATTTTGTTTACTATGTAAACACAATGGGCCTTTACTAACAAGAAAAGTCGACTTAATTAAGACCTGAAAAGAACAAGGATTCACAATCTGTGAAAAAAAGTTGTAAAGTGCGAAGGCGACAAGGCTCAAGATGAAAAAATGCGTTGAATTATTACAAAAACAAAAGATGGGCGTATCTTTTAATTCACAAAATTCTTAGTCATCAACTTTTCCCATATCTCAGAGGAAATCTGCTCAAATATACGGCCAAAATCGACCGGTGCCAAATCTTCCGGCTGCTGATTTCAGCCCAGCCGCGAGAAAAGCCAAGTAACTTTTGGTTGTTCTTATCGTATGTAATTTTTGGTTTCCTTATCGTATTTTAGTATTTTCCGCTTCTGGGAAACTTTGAACGTCAGTGTCTGTAGGTGATACAAAATTTTCAGTATTGTTAGTAGTCATAACTCGAGAAAAATTTCGACAAACATTCTTGGATTGAGGATGTTGAACACTTTGCCATTTGATCATCAACCTAACGGTGAGGCACGAACACACGTAAAACTGAAATTATCGTAATTTTACACGTTTGCTAATATGGCTTTTATTAGAGCTGGAAATCCGTGAAAAAGTTCGCAGTTTTCGGCCCCAAGCTTTCGTCCATCGCGCTTTGTAATATAGGTCGCACAAGAAAATACTGTCACACTTTTTAATACCTGGCGCACTTTGAAATAACACTTGTCCTACTTTGTAGTAAAAAAGCTGTCGCACTTTGTAATAACAGACCATCACACTTGGTAAGCCAATTTATGAAGCGAATGAGTAGCAAAATTGCATAAATTCCCTGACGGTTGTTGTGTTACGTTGTTTCAGTTTTATGAATGACTTTGATGGAGAACGTTAGACTGCAATTGTCAATAAAATACCGCAATGCTATGGGTGTTTTCCAGTGTCAAGCGATACTATTAAGGTAAAAGCAACTCTTTTAAAAACTTCTTCTTTACCGATATCTTCCTGGTTCGATTTTCTGACTTTTAGCATTTTCGGCATCAACATCACTGCATAGAATGCACCAGCAATTACCAAACCCATAAAGAGGATTCTCTTGAGTTTTACGATAGCCCTAACTGGAAAACTCATCGTGTGATTTGATATTCTTGCAACCTCTCTTTGTTTCGATGGTAGGGGTCTTCACAGTTGATATTAACGCACACTTGACACATTGATACCTGAACCGCGAAAAAATTGAATATGCAAATTTGTTAGGTATGAAGAGATCTCATGTTCAATATGGCAAATTCCATGTAACATGATATCTCTTCACACGTTGAAAATTCGCATACCTCTTTGAAATTCGATCTACATATTTGTTTGCACACGTGCGAAAAATTTAACGATTTTTTGTTATTTTTTTCTATAAAAAAGTAACTCAATGTTATTATGTTATTCTTTAGCTTATGGAGTGGTATTTTGCTCGCACCAATCAGATTTCCGCGTTCGGGTATGTATCTTGCACCAATATATCAGAGCATTTGGATAACTTGCACCAATCACAGCGTTTGGGTATTGTTTCATCACGTGTCATTTCCTTCTAGAGAACCTGCATTTCATCACGTATTCTAACCGTATTGTCCAACCCCACTGAAAAACATTCACATGGAACTAAATGCTACTGATACTGAATTTTCCACGCAGTTCTCCTGAGTTTTGACTTTTTCTACGAATAAAATTTTCTTTTAGCTACCTTGGACTTAAACCAATTGGGTGTTCCTTGTAAAAAAAAAAAAAACAACTTGCATTTTTATCTCGTATTTTACACACTGAGGGCAAAATCCAGATGGGCACAACAAATCAGGAGCCCTCTTTGAAATTTTACCCTTTTCTCTTGGTCAATTCGAGATCGCAGTATATCTTTCGTTATGGTCTATTAAAGGTACAACAGAGTTTCAGTTTGCTTTTGGTTGTAAAATTAGACGGAATTATATTTTTGAGGTAACTAACTATAGACGAACAATTTTGATTTTCTCTCTGTTAGAGGAACGGTAGTAAGCGTAGTTTCCTTCGCAACCGTTATTTGGTCTCGTCACGCACGTGCTCTGTCTCAAACGGGAAATAAAGGGCGTTGTGTAACGAGACCAAACAACGGCTTCGAAGGAGACAACAGTAAGCGTAGCACCGATGCATTTCATTATGTGAGATTTCCCCACACTTTGTCAAGGCCTGCGATATTTATTTATTTATTTATTTATTTATTTATCTATTTGTGTACGAGAGCAAAATGTCCGTCACGTGGTCTCTGGTTCCACAAGGAAGAGAGAGGACCCTAGGAACGAGGTTAAGTGTTTTTTTTCGGTTACTCTCACCAATGTAATCACCAATGTTACCTTTACCTAAATGACCTCCCATCATCGTTAAAAAACTTCAACTGTAGCCAACAGTTTTACTCAACAAAGCTAACTGTTACCGTAAATTTTGTGATAATTGCGAATACCATTTTGCCGATATCATTTTGTTTTGCCACAATAATACCATGATCAGGTTAACGTTAGTTTTCACCTAATTTTGCAATAGTTGTCACCAATGTTGCATTTCGCAGCAAGGCTATGTAGGCAATTGTTAACCACTATAATAATAATAATAAAAAAAGAAAAGTTGAGTGAAGTAGGCGTAAACACTTTGAAATAAATATAAGTTTTTGTTACTCTCTCACAAAACGAGTTAAGTTTGAGAATATTTTACTCAGTAAGTTTTACACCCCTTCATCTTACATTTTATTGTGAGCTTTCACAGAGTAAAACTGTCAATTTTTGTTCAGATGTATCCGAACGGAAAAAAGGACTACTGTGGGAGGTATTCTACAATTTCCGAACGGATTTTCCACAAAAGTGTCCGTTCCATTTGACTTTCAACCTGAATCTCCGGATTTTTTGCTAAATCGCAAGCACCTTTTCCGGAAAATTCATTCAGAAATTGTAGGCTTCCTCCTGAGGTAGTCCTCTTTTTCAGTTCCGAACGGAATAGCGGAAATTTCCTTACCATTTGCCGAATTTTCCAGTTTCCAGTCTCTCATTAGCCGAAAACGTCTCGTTCGGCTGGTTTGCTGATTTTAGAAAAACTGTTACCATTATTCACCAGTCATCCCAACCGGATTATTTAAGCACCCCTAATTTCCTCAAAACTAGAAGTCAAAACATGCTTCTCCCATAAGCTTTTCTCGTCTGCACCTTGGGAATCTACGGAATCTTTACTCGACATTTATCATTATAACATGACCAAATGTATTTAATTCACTGTAAAGCTAATCCATACCGCATCAACGGTTTTTTTGACTGAAATCCCACACAAGCACGCATTGCGGACCAATAGACCACAAAATATCTGTGTGAGGTCAGATAAATTAGGTTTTTTTTTCTGTCTTTCTGTGATATTTTCGTTCTTTTGAAAGTTATGCTCTTTAGAGTAAAAAGTTAGTGTGCATCTATGGCTTTTTTCATTTAAATGGTCTTCGTTCACCAGAGCTTGTGTTTAGGAAAAGATGATTTATAAAAATTAACTGCGCATTGTGTTTGCTTTTCCCGTTTCTCCAAAATTTTAACTTTTGGATAGGCACACGTTACATACAGGTGGCAAAGGGTTAAGTTGGGGGAGTGAAGATTCGTAAACGGTATTCGTGAGTTCGTGTGTTTGGTGTTAATCAACAACACGCACAGATGATCAGAACGGCTTCACCAGACCCAAACCATTTGGAGAGGATTTGGCCGTATGAATGTCGAATGAACCAATCAGAAGGCGGGAACGCTATACGTCCAAGGTAAAGGGAGAGATATTTTTCACAATCACATGAGGAACCGTTAGCCCTGTAGTTAGTACCCGCATCGGCCCTTGGCTCTTTTTGGTCATGATTAATGACCTCGCTATCTCGAGCAACCCCCTTTCTGGTATGTGGAAATTTGCCCACGATACCACGGTTTCAGAAATTGTTCCCAAGTCCAGTGCAACAAAGATACAAGACACAGTGGATCTTGTCCTTCAAATTGAAGGACATGATCAAAAAATTGATCATTAATTCAAACTGACATGATCAAAAAATGATCATAAATTCAAACTGAACTCGTTGAAGTGCAAGGAACTCCGTGCGTTGCAATAAAGGGTGACCTAAAGTTGCATTACCACGTAGATAATATTACTGTGAAAGCGTCTCAGCGAATCTATTTGCCAAGCAACTTAAGCGCGCTGGCATTGACTGCACATCTACAATTCATTTCTACTGCGCATGTATTCGTTCTGTCTTAGAAAATGCCCCTCAAGCTTTCCATTCTAGCTAACCAGTCTACTTGTCTAATTAAATCGAGAGGGTTCAGAGGTGAGTTTTAGGGATCATTCCATTCATATCCAGAGGCATCGTATAGAAAACCGCCAGAAGATGCAAATCTGAAAACACTCTTTGTAGGCGAGAAGAGTTATGCGTAAGTCTACTCAATCAGGTCAAAGAGAGTAATGGCAAGCATAAACTAGCTGACCTGCTACCTGCGCGCAATAACGCCTCTCAGTACAACCTAAGGAATAAGCGAATGTTTGCTATGCCCGGTATCAAAATCAAAAGGTTCGAAATTCCTTCATAATGCTTTATACAGCAAAAGAGCAAATGTAAATCTAAGTAGGGTTATTGTTATTAATTTTTTTAATTGTTTATGTTTAGAATTTATTATTATACGATTTATATCTTTCGTAATATATGTTTTTCAAATTATTATAAATTACGTACATTGTGCAAGTAATTCAATTACTAGCTGCTAGTTGTGATTTTAATAAAAATAATAAACATTTATTTCTTGATTCCATTCGACTACTTCAAAATGAACTCAAATGTCGCCAAAAAAAAAAAAAACCAGCCGCCTTATGGTGATTGCTAAGAAAAAAAAAGTTAACCACCAATTTTGTTAAACTCTCCTTAAATGTTTCCTACCAACGTTTGTTTCGTAAAATACAATTTAAAAAATAGGTCACCAAGCATATTTAAAAGATATGGGAGCCAAGCTTACCGCACTTAAGCCCGTACTGGCGCTAATCAGGCGAATCCTTTCATCTGTTCGCGGTACAATTTGAGGTAGCTGGAAACAAGCTTTTTAAAGCCACACTTGAAAAAAACTTGATAGGTAGAAAGTCTCGAGCGTATGGAACAATTTGATATATAATTTGTGAAACAATCACGCGGTTTTTAGCGACATCGACTCAAAACATTCCTCGAGTCGTTGCTTTCAGGGTTATAATTTGCATCCTCAAGTAACGGGCTCCCTGCACGCTTTTAGCTGTATCTTTTTCCCCTTCGATGGATTTTTTTTTATTTCTCAAATTTGAAGGGTATAATTTGCACACAAAACTTATGAAAAAGACCAAAGAAAAACGAAACCACTATGCTAAAGACCATATCACAAGGAGGGTCACTGGTTCTTTAGTATATTTACTGCTTTGTGTAACCCTCGTTAGATAAAGTTATTATTATTATTATTATTATTATTATTGCTATTATTATTATTATTATCATTATTATTATTATTATTATAAGGAGCCGCGGGAAAACGTCATTGACGAAGACTCTTTGGTTTCAGTTTTGCATCTGATTGGTTGAGAGAGTGGCGAATTTTTTTAAACCAACGGAGAATAAAAACCGGAGACAACTGCTCTAATTTTCTGAAATCGCAATTAGAAATGAGATGTTAAAATTAGTTACTTCTATCTGCGACGTGATTTTTGTCTCAAAGGTGAGTGAGCTTACCGGTTTCATCAAATTCCTATCAAGTTTGTGTTGGTTAAAATTTTAGTGTCTGGCAATATTAACAAACATTGTTTAAAATGGCGTACAGCTGTGACAGCTGTACGCCATTTTAAGCAGTAATCCTTTTTCGTGCTGTGGTTTGCCTCCCCTTTTCCTTCTTGCTGAAGAAATTCAGGGATTCACTATTTCTTGATAACTGGGCTTTTTGAATCCAAAAATGTCATAGTCTTTTGCGTATATATTCTGCAGTCGTGTAAATTCTTCTTGTGATATTCCTGAATAGAAAGTCTTCATCTTCGTTTGTGATCCTTGTCCTTCGGGTGCAGCTTCGATATTTGGGAAAGTAACCTCTTCATCAGCTCCCATCAACATAAGAGCGAGGTCAGCATCTGCTTTGATATTATCATAAAAGCCAACGAAGTCATAATTTATATCACACGGAGCGCATAAATTATGCTGACGATCCCAGTGTTCATCATGAGAGCTAACAGGCGTAGTAATCGCGAAATTTGCGAATTCCTTAAATGTGGGATAATGTGGAGTTAACCCTGTAGAGTTCTTCCGCATCCTCTTGATGATGTTTAGGCCGGTGCTGTAGTAAAATCCCCTTCTAGGGGGATTAACGGGTGCAAATTTACTCCGGTAGGCTGACAGAAATCGCTCCATAGGTTCGCGAACAAATGCAATCTTTTTGTATGTTTTTAACATGTGATTTACTACTGTAGCGTTTGAATAATGTCTCAAAAAGCGTAACTTTCCTGAATCATGCGAAGTTTCGTGGGAGATATCTTCCGACGAGTTGAAATGTCCATCTAAAACGTGAAAAATTCGTTTCCAGTTGCTACATGCTACTTTAGGAACGAAACAGAAGAGTGTTTTGTAACGCTCGGACACGATAAGGTGATGTTTGACGACATATTGAATTGGTTTTCTTCTACCTTGCTTGGTACAAGCAGAAGAATTCCAAGGCCGATATCTTTCCTCTAAAAGTCTAGTCTGAAAAAAAGGGAAATTAAAAATGATTTAAGTTGATAAACATTCTCAACAAGGCTGGAACACTTAAGGCAATAAATGGCTGAAACAGGGCTTCGTCACGAATCGATTCGTGAGTACTGCTTTCAAAACAAGTCTTTGTGTCCCAATTTGTCATTGCAATCATCGCATTTGTGCGACTTGCTTCGGGGACAAAATTATGTGTCAGGGATAACTGTATGATACCTAAAGACACCAAGAGAACGTATAAACATGGTCATATTTTTGATTCCATAGAAAGAGACTGAGAAGGAAGGAACCAAAATTATTCTTTCGAACTATTTTTTAAGGTGAATACGAACAATTCTCAAATTCGGCACCCACGCTGCGGGAGTCGCGCGTGATATACAGCTACTGCACCATTATTACTTACATATAATGTAAATCCAAACTTTCTGGCCAATTTTTTTGGTATATTCAACTGACACTATTGTAAGTTTTGGTTAAAATGTTACTAAGCTTTAGAAATGATTTTTACAGTTTAACATTTAAATACCACTAACTAAAACAAAGAGAGAATATATCGTTCTATTTGCCACTCCACGTAGCTAGAGAATTGGTTGTAAGTGTGGTAAGAAATGGTTGACATTTTCATCTGCTCGTACCCGCAAGTCTCTAAAATTTGGGATCTTGAGCGGGCAGTTTTTGCATAATGATTGCAGTTTCAAGAACACGAAGGGCGAGTAATAAAAAAACCCTAGTTTCTCCTAAGGATTTTAAACCTCCTTCTTTAACGAAATTGCGGTTGGAGGCTTTCCCAACCAGCAAAAGGAAAGTCAGTCGTTGGCCATCTAAGCAAGGTAACCGTAGATTTATGTGTGACTTGCGTTCTGTGTACTACTGGGAAAGACTCTCTGTTTGGAACAAATTTTTAATTATGTTTTCGACAAAACTGCTCTTCAAGACATGAGCCCAGTGTGAAAAAGGTAAGTCGTGCAGAAAATGGCCTTTCTCTTCTCTCGGGGAATGACCCTTGTCTCTAATCCTAAGCCATTAGGATAAGTTTTGTTCACTTTTTCCTTTGTCTATTTTTGTCTTGGACATGTGTTTTAATGATTGCGGGATTTCAACGAGGTTAAGTATAGTTTTATTTCAGTAAGGAAAAACATTTTATTCCAGAACAGTCTTTTCTCTCGGCAAGGGGTTTTTGAATTGTTGTACTTCAGTAAAACAGGTTTATAGAGTTACTTTGGATTGAAAATGAGCTCAAATGAAACCGAAAAGTTGAAAATTGGTCGCATTTGATTTGTGTGAAAATACTGAGAGACATAAATCCGAAAGTTAGCACTCCTTTAAGATTATATTGTTTTAAGTACAATTGATAACTTTAAAAATCACTATTTATTTTTTCAAAGTAATGATATTCTGCGGGAGAGCGTAATGAATTCCAAAACCAAAGGTTTGAAAATAGATATGGATTTTATAGACCAGCAGGTCTGCTTCGGGTGTAAAAATGACATGTTTTGATCGAGAATGGAAAATTTACCCCCACTCGCTGAATTTCAATTCACTACTTACCAGTGCCTCTCTTTTCATCTGTTTGATATTCTGGGAATCTGTTAAAATTCAATTGAAATTTATTAGAAATCTAGGTGTTGATAAAGGGAGTTTGCAAAATGCAACCGTTCTACTATCACCTCAAAAAAAAAAATAAATGATCGAAATTATAACGAATTATTAAACAGTCGCGTTAACGTTAAGCTAGGGGTTGTTTTGACGTACGTCAGAGCAAAGTCGTACCTCAACCGTATCTTCCTCTTGCATGTCTACTCTAGATTTCAAATTTAATTTAAGAAGCGTTATTTTGTTGATGATGGAGTTTTGTCTATGCAGTTAAAAGGAAATTACAGTTTTAATTTGCTGTCTCGGTAGTTTCAAACGCGCAGCTCAAAAAATACAAAGTGATGGAATTTCAGTTCAAACAAAAACAACATCAACAACGACAACTCAACGTTTGCTTTAATATTGTGACAACAAAAAACGCTAACGAAGACGTTTAACTTTCTAACATATACATGAAGTGACTGACTCGCCATCTAAATATTAAAAGGGACAATAACACTGTTTTAACGAGATCAACTAATAACCCTAACCAAGACAGAAGCATAAATTCGTAATTGGTCAAAATATATATTTACGATGTGCGCTGAGAATGCAACCAATATTCAGTCATGCAGCAGTCTAAGCAAGCACTTAAGTCGAAAAAGTGTTTTAAGAAATGGTTCACATTTTCATCTGCTCGCACCCACAAGCCTTAAAAATTTGGGATCTTGAGCGAGCAGTTTTGCAGAGCGATTGCAGTTCCAAGCACACGAAAAGTATGGTCGAGAAACAAGATTGCCAGGCGTTTGAAATATGAATAAATTTCTCTACGCTTTCGCTTATCGGAGAGAGAGCTTTCACTCTATCGGTAATAGAAAACAGGGAAAAGAGTTAATAGAATACGGGGCCATTTTTTACAAGTGTCCCTGAAATGGCTTTAAAGCCCGCCTGTGAAAGTCGAGTGTTTCAGGCTTACTACATAATGTCAAAACAATACAAGTGCAATCAAACAAATTAGCGGAGAATTGAAAGCGAGATAAATATCTTGATAGCGTTGAATAACGAGAAAGTTCTTTACTATGGATGGTTGTCACTTTAGGCACTGAGTTTGACTTAGTCAAAAAAATGGGCGAAAGTACTGATTCATTTTTCGTTTCGTTGGGAGGCATTGTCGGTTCGTCAGGTCGGCAGTGGACAAGACCACTGGGTGTGGTGCGAGTTAAACAGAAACAAATGTTATGGTAACTTACCGTTAACACTTCGATTTGTTTCAAAAATTACTGAATAAAATGCCCCTGCAAGGACATGCACCATCAGAATGACGAATGTAAGTTTTGCGAAGTTCCTTAACGAACAACGCATTTTGGAATTATGTACGTACTTCTGCAACCTGTCTTTGATTTAATAAGAAAGGTTCCTTCTCAATCAACGCACAACTCTATCGGTGGAATGGCACTTAGTATTGATCAAGGTCATGCCTTCGATATATCTTTAAGTGCTCTCTGGCTCACTCACGTTTCAGGGGAAGAAAGGGCTTATGTGGGTCCTACCCAATCAGAGAGCAGTATTTTGGAGGCATTTCAGGTAGCCCAATCATTATATAAACCAGTCAGGAAGCCGCACTTGTTCCGTGTGATCGCCGGGAGAAAACATGGCGGTTGTTAAGGCACATAGCAGTTTCGAAAGGAAAACGAGATAAAACACGCATCAATAGAAATTTCACTAGGAAATCAAATTTCTGAATGCTCTAAAGACTCAGTAAATTTTCAGTACAATCAAATTGACAGAATGGCCAGGCACCTTTTCGAGACTTTGTGATGAGTACGTGCAAGTCTGTCGAAGGATAGCAAGATATTTGGCACTGAAACCGCCCAAACAATACAAATGTATTAAGTCACTGAAGAATACTTAGTGTATCTGACCATTCCCATGTAAGTACATGGTATAGTGCTCACAAACATATTCATTTTTCAACTACTTATGCAACATCGCGGTCTCTTCAACAATTGCACAAGTGCTACGGTCGCTTTCGAGAGCGCGAATGGTGAACACAACGCGAAGATTATGTCAATTATTTTAGAAATTTAACTCGACCGTCACCCTGGCATATTTAATATAGAGATCATACCTGGATATTGCTTCTTGTTGTAAACTGTTTGGCGAATGGCATGGGATCATATTGGATAATATTGTAGTGGGGGTCACTTTGCTTACCGAGTGACCCAACTTAAAAGATGAGATGGCCATGTAAGGAATTATGACAGTAGCGATCCGTTCCTATCTATCGATCCATATCCTATCTATCGATCCATATCACTTGCGAGTCCGGGTCATTTGTGGAACTCTACACTTCATCATGATGACATTTATCCACGATCGGCAAACAAAACTTTTTCCTACTTGTGCAAACATTTTGTGGCATTGCATTTTTTGCGGTCAATAAGCGGTCAGTATCTAACGCACTGCTGTCGTGACTTTTCATACTCATCTGTTATTCATTTTACAAAGAATCTATCCGTAGGAAGTTCCAGCTAATGCAGACCCACAAGACTGGAAAATCGAGAGATATCACGAAAGTTACCGGAATTAAGAAAAGAATTACGATGGCGATCTGACCATGCAAAAAGTTGCAAAAGTAACGGCCCAGCCTTGGGGATCACTTACAATTCCAGGATCACTTGCAGTCCCGCGATTATTTGATAAGTGAACACTTCGTTATCGTACCATTTATCCACGATCAACAACCAGAACTGATTTACCTTTTAAAAGAAAGCTACTGTTGGAGGAATTTTGGTTCTTGTGCCAGTCAGTCATTTCCGGACTCATGATACGGAAGCCATTCCTCAACGAACAAATATCGCGCGAAAAGAGTACACATTACTTGCAATATTGTACGTTTATTTGGTAACTTTGTTATTTTGTACTGTAAAAATGCCTGTTTAACCAGTCAGCTGCGCGCGCTACGCTTCTTTATCCGCTTTGCTTTTCCCCGCTTATGAGAAATGGGCAGAAATATATAGCAGAAAAAAAGCAGTTGGATAATACATATCTTATTAGACGTTTTGCTGTGTAGTATCGCTGAGTATTTTAAATTGTTGTTTGTATTTTGACTCGTCATACGGGCTCGTCAAAATACGGCACAATTCGTTAAAACACACATGTTGTTCGTCAGCCGGTAGGTCCGTATTGGGAAAAACTTTGCCCGAGGTCTTGAAAGAGGGCAAAGTTTTTCCCTTTACAGATCGACCTTGGCTGGTGAATAACATTTTTAATATGTTTTTAAACTCAACAAAATTCTTTTCAAAATAACCCGAATGATTTAAGGCTGTAATTACGGCAAGATCTTTCATAAACTTAACAAATATTAAGCGAGTAATTTAAGCTATAAGTAGGTAAAATAGAGGTGATGCAAATTAAAGAGAGGCTTCACCGAAACATTTTCATTTGCGTAAGGATAAAGGTGATTTAAAAGGCTTCCAAACGAACTTTGAAACATTATTTTTACAAGTATCTGTCACAATCTGACACCTGTCAATTAGAGAGCGCGTAAGATAAAAAAGCGCATAAGATAAAAAAGCGCATGTGCACCTTTAAATCCTAAATCTGGTATTTCCTCTATTAAAACTAAATTCGAATAAGACACTTCAACTAGACACAAGGGGATTTAATGCGGCTTTTTCTCGTTGAATTCCCTTAGTTTCTGCTGTCCAGTTAACGGTACAAATGTCCACATTGAACGGACCTAGAAAGACCCATCGAAAGCGTATTTGTAGTACACTCTCACTACGAACAAATTGTCTGAGAGAATTAAAATATCAGCTGGAAACCACTCCACTTCGCGTCGTGGTTTCCTACGCTTATCTCGTGTTCTCCCAACCTCCCGCGTGTTTACATCAGGTTATGTAAACACGGAAACCATTTTACATTTCTTCACTGTCAACCGAAGTAATTTAAGAGAGAGAAAAGAGAGGATTAATAAGTTATTTATCGGCTTTAAGTAGTAACCGACGTCCTTGCTTAAAAATACTACCCAGTCGGAAAAACGAGATAAATTTGTGAAAAATGGCAGCGAAATGGCAGAAAGCTTCTCAGGTCTCTCTCAAAGAATAAGTTCTGCCTTCTTGGATGTACACATTATGTTTCTTCCGTTTTGTTGTGTCTATTCGCTTCATTTGTCACAATTTTTTTTGGTCTAAGGAAACAGAGAATGATACACGGGCGCGCATCGATATGGGATTTCTCTTCTCGTATTTAACTCGATATCTCACAGGTGAGCACAACAAATGAGTGAGATATTGAGTTGAACACGAGGAGAGAAATTTCATAACTACAAGCAACCAATCAGTATTATTTTGTTTATTATGTACACAATAGGCCTTTGCTGAAAAGAAAAGGAAAGCCGACTTTATTAAGACATGAAACGAATAAGGATTCACAATCCGCCAAAAAAAGTCGTAAAGTGCGAAGGCAACAAGGCTCAAGATGAAAAAATGCGTTGAATCATTACAAAAAAAAATGGGCGTAACTTATAATTCACAAATTCTTAGTTATAGACTTTTCCGTACCTCAGAAGAAATGTGCTCAGATACACGGCCAAAGTCGACCGGTGCCAAATCTTCCGGTTGCTGATTTTAGCTCAGCCACGAGAAATATTCTAACCAAAGCCAAGTAACTTTTCGTATTTTGGTTTTTTCCGCTTCTAGGAAATTTTGAACGTCAGTGTCTGTAAGCTATACAAACTTTCAGTATTGTTAGCGGCCATAATTCGAGAAAAATTTCGACAAACAACCTTAGATTGAGGATGTTGAATGATTTGCCATTAATTCACTGATTAACCTGACAGAGTGGCGCGAACACGCGTAAAAAATTATCGTTATTTTACACGTTTGCTCTTATGACTTTTATCAGGACTGGAAATCTATGAAAAATACTGCAATTTACATCACAAGAATATATATCACTTGTTACTGATCAAGAGTTTAATTCGCAACTGAAAATGCATCAATATGTAATATTTACTAAGCTGAATAAAACTAAGCCTCACAATAATAATCGTTTTTTTAGTTAATAGTTTTTGAGACGGTCCGGCTGTATTTACAAATTTAGTGGAAATTAAGGATTTATTCATTAAGGTTGAGATTAGCCACATTGTTCCAACTCCGTTGGTAAAAACTAAGCCTCACAATTATAATAGTTTTTTTGGGAAATAGTTTTTGAGACGGTCCGGCTGTATTTACAAATTTAGTGGAAATTAACGATTTATTCATTAAGGTTGAGATTAGCCACATTGTTCTAACTCCGTTGGTACCATCTCACTAAGAGACAGTTATAAAATTTTAAGCTCCCCTAAATAGCAATTGAAGACATCCATCATGGTTATTAAAGCGGTCCTTTTGCCTTTAATTTGGTATTTATCTTAAAGGCAATTAGCTTTGAGCTTCACACAAAAGTCGTTAAAATCACACTTAGCGATCAACAAACGTTCCCTTCGCTTTTGTCTACTTTTTCGTTTATCGCACTTTGTAATAGGCATTGCACAATACAGTGCTGTCGGACCTTGTTATACCTGTCGCATTTTGTAATATAATTGTCGCCTGGCGCACTTAGTAATAAAACTTATCCCACTTTGTAATAAAAAAGCTGTAGCACCTTGTAATAACAGACCATTACACTTGGTAAGCCAATTTATAAAGTGAAAGGGAAGCAGGACTGCGTAAATTCCCAAACGGCTGTTGTGTTAGTCATTCATAAAACTGAAACAACGTGACGTTGGTTCAGTTTTATAAATGACTTTGATGGGGAACGCTAGACTACAATTGACCAATAAACTCGCGTGGTGCTGTAGGTGTTTTCCAGTGTCAAGCGGTACTATTAAGGTAGAAGCAATTCTACTAAAAATTATTTCGTTACCGATATCCTCCTGGTTCAGTTTTCTTAATAGCCGCAGCATTTTTGGCATCAACATCACTGCATAGAATGCACCAGCAATTACCAACCCTATCAAAAGGATTCTTCTGAGTTTTACGATAGCCCTTATTGGAAAACTCATCACTTAACTTGATATTCTTGCAACCTCTCTTTGTTTCGATGGAAGGGGTCTTCCCAGTTGATATTAACGCACACTTAAGCTGACGCCGCGGGAGGGAAGATTCGTAAATGGTAATTGTGAGTTCGTGTGTTTCGTGTTAATCAGCAACACACACCGGTGATCAGAACCTTTGATCAGCAAAGTGCGATACTTCACCGGAACCAAACCACTCAGAGGGGATCTGAGCATATAAATGGCGAATGAACCAATCAGATGGCGGGACCGCTATACGTCCAAGACAAGGGGAGAGATATTTCCCACGATCACGTGAGGAACCGTTAGCCTTAGCAACTTAAGAGTAAACCTCGATGGTTGATCCAAACTCCTAATTTAATCCATAAATTATTTCACATTGGCACAAAAGGACATTCAAAGCTCTTTTCAACATGAATCCGTTGCT